TATCAACAACAACAACAACAACAACGAAGCGCGATGCGTGGATGGCCAACACCAAGTTTAGGTGAAGTGGCTTGGACTCAACGATAAGAATCGTCCTGGGAACCTGCGGCGAATTTGCTGGACGACATTCCAGTCGTATTTCGCAAATCGGCGGCGGCCAACAAGGAAGACCCTGCCATGGCCGCCCTCATCAAGACACTGGGCTTTCCGTAGGAGGGGAAGTGTCTCTGCAGTGTGCAGAGCAATTGGGTCGCGCGTTAGTTTGACCCATTGCAAACACACACACTCTGTGTGTGTGCCGTGTCAAAGGTTCCGATACCTTAGTGGAGGTACTGAGTACTTTAGTGAATGGTAGTCAGTAGGCGCCTCGTGGCGTGTTTAACCTCACTAATATCAGTGTGTATATTTGCTGCCTTGACGAAGGTCCCGTGGCCGAAAGCCGAGAAGAAGCGGGAGACAATACAATGTTCAACCCAACTACTCAACAGCTTCCACAGTAGTATGAACAACAGTCGACGCTGCTGTTGACGTGGCTCTGTTTTAAGCAGCCTCCGCACGACTAACACCGCCAGTGATGTCTCGTTCATTTCGACGTGTGCCCATGCTGATCCAATATCCGAATAATTTATTCGAATATTTTGATGGAAATATGCTGTTGCGAAATCATAAAATATCTGTTGTTGCGTGAGCTGAACGCGAACAAATAACCGACGATTTCCTTATTGTAAATTTTAATTTTTCTGCGTCCTAAGCTGGATGCGTATATGTTTAAAATTGTATGTCTGGAAGGAAAGCCAATTTCACCCATCCTCCTGAGCCCTATTCGGATAAGGCATATCATTGTGCGACTCGTATTGCTAACGTGTGAAATCAGTGATTTGTTGAAATTGTGCAAGATTCGATAGATCATAACTCCTTCAGGATTACAATATTATTATCCTGAACAAGAGAGTTCTATTTCCAAATTCCTCGTTTCAAGCACTAGAGCATGATTTAAGAATTCATGAGATCATGGCACTCTTTGATTTGTCCATGAGCTCGATATTCATCATGGCAACATGAACGAGTGAGTGCTGAACAAAACAACGACATGATTGGCCACCAAAAAGAACTTCGTTTATCCCAACTTCAAGTTGTCGTCAGTACGAAAAGCAAAATTAAAAGTACTACTACATAGTATACTATACTATTAATAGTACATACTATGCTGTACATTTGAGGAAAATTGGCCTATCACGACATCCCCTGGGCCAAAATACGACTTTCGATTGGCTGTCGAAAGCAGGCGTTCACCTTAATCCCCTTGATATATTAATGAAGCGATTCGTATATGAATATGGCAGAATAACAATCACTTCAAATTTTCGCACCCACCTTGAACTGATCAGCAGAAGTTCCGCCAATTAAATGGATGTATTGTGCCGTATACATAGTTTGATTGGTAGGTAGGTATCCACCAATTGCATCGATGCATTTGGATGAAACAGCTGGCCTTGCTTTGATTGGCTGATATATTTGATTTGTGACTCGAAATGTCTACACCAAATGTACATTACTGTATATAAAAACCAGACATCTGAGACACATGTACACTATAATAAAGCACAGAGTAGCATGTATAGTCTCAAGAGGGACAACGACGAGGAACGCTTGTGTGGTCAAGAACAAAACCAAAAGTGATGATTAACGGACTGCTTAGCTGACCTATGATTGGGCGGAAACAGTCCAGCTTCTACAGAAACAGAACACCGGATAATTCCGGATGACTGGATATTATCCATAAGTGACCGAAGCTCGGCGAAAAAGGCCAAAACAAGGCCCGCCAAAGCAAGAACGGCCAAAGTGCCCCTTCTTGTCATATAGTATTCCTAAACTGTATTCCTAAACTGAATCACCATACCGTGTAACCTATGTCCTTCAGGGTGGTTATGTCCTTCCGGGTCCCTCTATATATCGATGTTCATATACTCACCCAAAGCACAAAATGATACAAGTTCGCCTTTCGCGGCAATATAACAGGTTTTTTGCACGCGCGAGCTCTCTCGACAAGGCACACCACTCCACACCTTTCAAAATGGACAGCAGCCAAATGACGATGCCTCAAACGAAGCCACTTGGCCGTCCACGCCTCAAACAAGGCCCCACCAAACCTTCGAAGACGTACCACAATGTCCACGTGTCGTTCACGATCAAGCAGGCAGTCATCGAGACCTTTGACGACGTTGGGACCGCGGCGACACTTGCTAAGCACTTCTCCCATCACAGTGGTGCCAAGTCGGGCTCTACGCGTAAGATGTACTCTTGGCTTCAACAGCGTGCTCACATTAGGTCTAAAGCATCAAATCCGAAGACGTCGCGTCACCTCTGTTCACGAGCGATTGGCATGGCGACACCTCTACCGAAGGAGTCCGAGGAGCAGCTTGCTCAATGGGTCAACTCAATGCGCACTGACGGTGTTCCGGTGACCCCTCGAATGATCCAAGTCATGGCCTTGGGGATGGCAATTGACGTCGGATTGTACGAATGCACCTTCACCACAAGCTGGTCATGGCTCCAAGGCTTCAAGAAACGATACGTCGTCAAAGGTCTCGATGACTGCCAGCTTGATCGCGAACGACACGTGTACATTGCGGTACTTCTTCGAAGGTTTCGTGGGGGCTTCATTTGAAACATCGTCATTTGTAGTCATGGCTCCAAGGCTTCAAGAAGCGATACAAGTTTGCCCTGCGTGCTCGGACTCGTACCGGGCAAGATACTCAAGGCGACGGTGCAAAGGCACTGGACGCGGATCGTGTTGTGTTTCCCAGGTGGTCCGCGACAACAGCGTCGACGTCATCTAAACACGGATCAGAAGGGCGTCAACTATGAGTACCTTGGATTACGGATTCGGGGTCAGGTTTGGATGAATCTATCGTCAAGAATGGCCTCGCTAAGTGCAAGATTGTGGCTCAAGCGGAGGAAATTGCTGAATTGCCGGTCTCAGCGCACAAGTTGTCTCAATTAGCGGTGCGGTGCGCTATTGATGACACAATAGATCCAATGGACGAAATGGATGTCAACAGTAACGACGAAATTGTTTTTTTACAGTTAATTAAATTACGTATACTTGGAGTATGTATAATATGATTCAACTGTGAAATTGTAATACTGTCTTCTTTTATACGATCTTGAACCTTTAGCTGAAAATATGCAATATTCATATGATTTGCTGTACTTGAAGTTTATAAACTAAGAAGGAAAAATTAGCGTCAAACCACCAATATCGTTTGGGGAGGGAAAATAGCTCAGTTGTAGACCATCGGTTTCTTAACTCAAAGGTCGTCGGTTCGATCTCCGGATTATTTCCGCAATGATTTATCCGTCCCTCCTGGGGAAATTCGAATAACAAGGGCAGAGTACGAAGACGAGGACCGAACATCGAAGGAGCTCGGTCGAAGCACGAGGTATGAAGCGTTGAGCGAAGTAAAAACCGAAGATTACACACCGCCCCTGGTCCAGCAGGCGCGTTACAATTGGCGAAGCGGTTCCACAACATGTGGTTCTAGTATCGGCCTTCGCAGAGCAATGTCAATAGCGCGGGTCCTATCGAGCTGGCAGATACCTCTTATGTATATAATCACAGTACCGTATTGTGTAATTCGAGTGGGACATCCATTTCGAGTGAGACAACTGCAACATTAAATATATTCTACACGGAGTCAATACAAGGCTTCAAGAGGATATACTTCGCGTCAGGATAACTCTTAATCTTAATAAATACTCCTAAACACAACAAAGTTTGAGAGGTAAAAGCGCGCGATTTTTGTGCACATTACGGTGACAGGGTTGACACACTTCATTACCATGCTCGCCTGTCGACCCAAGCCTAGTGTGTCCCGGGCGCCTCAAGGGGACGACCAGTGTCAAAGTACAGGCCCAAGAAGAAGCCTAAGCAGCATAATAATAGAGTTGTGACGTTCAGTGAGAGACTCGCAGACATCCAGTACTACGACACCTGTGGAATGCCCGCAACGCTCGACGCATTCTATGGTACCTTGACAGCAACAGCGCGCGAGTCCATGCGGAAACGAGTGTACATATGGGTGGCAAAGTGTGAGCACATACTAAGTTAGGGTCAAGTCAATCCACCGGGGAGAAGAGATGCATGCGACCTATTGGGACGAGAACGACACTTACGTGGAGGCCTAGGAACAACTCCTGCGCTGGGTCCTTGACATGCACAAGAATAGCGTACCCGTGACACACGCCATGTTACGCATCATGGCCTTGGAGGCAGCCATCGACCTAGGACTCGACGACCATGAACTCGACGACCATGAACTAGCTGGCTGGCACTGGGCCGACAGGTTCAAACACCGACATGGTCTCTCGCTCCACTGTCGCGCCTGCGTTGGAGCAGACACGCCCCGAGATGGGTTGGACGCGCTGTAGTCCTTCTCAGAACGCGTCAAGGCTCTCATGCGAGAGTACTGCATCCACCGTGTCTACAATACTGACCAGACGGGAGTCAACTACGATAACCTACCGACTCCATGACTCCAGCGGCAGCGATTAACCTCTCTTCCTGGTGATCTAGACAGGCAAGTCAAAGGTCAAAGTAGTTATCCAAGACAACCTTACCGAACGGCAAGGCTTTGGCAAGGCTTTGTGAAAATCCGTGGAGCCCTTGCAGGAACAGCACGGCTGTCAGATCGTTGGTAACCTTACGGCATGGTGGAACAAGGATATCTCACTGTAGTTCCAACAGTAGCCTCGCGCCCAGACCGCTCGACGGAAAAAGTGCTCCTTCTGTGGGACGACTTCTCTGCGCATTTTACTGACGACGTTGTGGCCTACACAGAATCCATTAATGTCATCCTTGAGCGTATTCCACCAAGATACACCTCGATCTGCCAACCAGTGGACGTCGCGTGGAACCGTCCTTTGAAGACGCAGCTTCGTCAAAAGTGGTTGGACCTAACTCGCCGTTAGTTGCGGAATACAAAGCAGCGAGGCGTACCATTCAAGCTTCAAATATCTTCGCGTGCGACGATTGTCGGATGGATTGCTGAAGCCTGGGTTGACATTTCCAATTCTACAATCGTGAATGGGTTTAGGAAGTGCAGCCTTGTCGATGGTGTACTCACTGGTGTTGCGAGGTTGGTGGAGTTGTCGACGAGGCTGTGATGTCTACTTGTGCTATCGAGGAGACTCTAGACCCTCAACATGACATCAGCAATTCTGCAGTTGACCACGAGAACATTGATCAGCCATAATAAGTGCATTTTTCTACTCAATTATAATACACCGAATTTTGTATGCTTTTGGTGCAATTTATATTTAAATGGGTAGCTCTCCCTTTCAATACCTTTTCAAAAAATTTATGCAATTGAGGTTGATGAAAATTCAGCTTTCTTAATTGCCTCCGTTTATCTTGCTTGTTGTATTTCTCAAACTACAGTTGATGTCATTCCTGTAATTGTCTCCGTTTATCTTGCTTGTTGTATGTCTCAAAAGAAAGCCAATATCACCTTAAGTTTCACCACTATTTACTGAAATATTTTCAGAATAATATTTAAAATGATGTATTAAAGATTCCGTTGATTGTTTAATATTTGATCTAATACCATGTGACGTCCATCCGGATTCGGATAAAGGCAGATCAGTGTCTCACTCGTAATACACAAGACAGTATTTATTAGTTCACGAGAAACTACAGTTGATGCCATTCCTGGTGATAAGGATAACTTTGTACACATGCATGCATGTTTCGCATCATTGCGTGCCATTCCTGGTGATAAGCATACCTCATTGTCGAAATTAACGCGGGTTTCCACTCAGGAGATAGCTACCTGGTCGAATGATAGTGAATTTACTGCCTGAGGTTGCGCTTTTTGCAGTGCGAATTATCCGAATAATTCCCTCATTCAAACAATACCAGTGTTGTTTTGACCCGAAATACTGTTTCACAGTCAATGAGGGAATTATTACATCCGGATACACCTTTTCGCCGTGTAGCCCTTTAACCTAGGACTCCGTCCTACCCCCGATGAGTACATACGATGCTAAATCTCCGGGGTTAACTGCATCGCTAGTGGTTAGCGACAGCTAACCACTGAGATGTACTTAACCCCTAGTAAGAGGTGAGGTGGCCCGAGGATACAAAGTTCCTTATAAATCTCATTGAAACAGTATTTCGGGTCAAAACAACAGTGGAAGTATTAGTGAGGGAATTGTACGAATTATCCTGAAGTATCAGTGTCCATTAGGCCTCTAACGCAGAGAGTGAAGTACTGACTGAGCAGGCAGTACTTTATCATATACTACGTAGTAATCAGCTTTCAAAAATTATAGAGATATTATGACAATTTACCAACTATTCAACCAAAATGTAAGATTATTTTGTAACATGCTCACTTTTTTCCACAAGAGGTTCAGGTATTTCCAATGGTTAAAACCTATTTCTAACCTATTCCCATTACTTATTAAGGAGACTTCGCAATGAACGATATCGTTCGTTCTCTTTCCGCTCAGGCGAAAAAACCTCTATGAACAAATTCCGGAACGACAAAACCTGTCTACAATTGATGCGTATGTCCACAAAATGGCTGGCTGAACGATAGTCTGTCGTTCAAAAAACCTCTAGCAATGCATCAACATGTATAAACTTTCAAAGCGGTTGGTGGCGTGCTCGACAATCACAAAAATGAGTGTCGAGCACGATACCAATACGAAGAAATGGTCGGGTATGTGAGCCGGCGCAGCAGAATACACAAGGCATCTACAGCATGATAACGGTCTCGGCTTGGCGTGATCACAACGCCTGGTAAGCGGAGCAGCACCGCCAATGATCGGATACCGGCGACGTCAGCGTTCCCTCTTTACATCAAATGAGAAGCTAGATGGTTCGAGTCGAATGTGTGCTCGCGGTAGGCGAAGTTGGGTTAGACTTACCGAGGGAATTTCTATGTACTACGGACAGCTATGCCACGATATTGTGTGTTTTGTTTGCGCTCTGTCGACTACTATGTACTAGCCTGTTGTATCGTGCATTACAAAGTCAATATGGACTAAAGAGCATTGTCTAGTGGTTCACGCTAGCGTGTTATACGAACTGGTGCAGAGGCTAGGTGCAGCTACAGGTGGTTCATCACAGGGCTCGTTCGACGGACAGAGAGCTGTTGCGCAACGTGTCCAGGCGAAATTGAACGTCCGGGATAACAGGACGTTGTAACAGCTTCAACGGTAGTATGAACAACAGTCGACGCTGCCATTGACGTGACTTTGTTTTAAGTAGCCTCCGCACGACTGACACCACCAGTGCTGTCTCGTTCATTTGGACGTGTGCCCATGCTGATCCTTTATCCGGATAATTTATTCGAATACTTTGATGGAAATATGGTGTTGCGAAATCATAAAATATCTGTCGTTGCCGCTGCCGTTATCGTTGCGTGAGCTGAACGCGAACAAATAACTGACGATTGCGAAATCTCCTTATTAACAGTAGTCGATAGCTCGAGGGGGCTTCTGATAATACGTATCGATTATGAGAGTATTTTTCTGAAACATTTACCTATTTTTATGCATCGAATGTAAAACGCGTTTATTACATGTGGAAATATATTAATTCATACGGTGAAAATTGGCTCATGTTGAAACTTTGCCGCATCGCTTTATCCCGAATATCAACACCTAGGATGTGTTTAAATGCCCATGCCGTAGGTTTGATTATGTTTGATTACCCACTGTAGTACACTCTTGTCGGCGTAGCTGCCGGACAGAACGTTGGTCTGATGGAAGGTCACGTCGGTTGCGTAGGGGTAGTTGACAAACCTCTGCCCACTTGTAGAAAGCATAAGCATAGTCGATTTGTCGGCCAGTGCGTTGACATGCTTATGACAAAAGGATGGAGCACCTTCAAAACGTTCATCACCCGCTTCAGGAATGTTGGACTTGATTCCTTGAAGATGGTTGCCACAATGTCCCATGAACCGCCGGTTTTTATGATTGTCAGCAGCATGAAGAGCATGTCTCGATTCGAGACCTCGCACTTCCGGCCGGACCCAACGTTTCACGACTTGTTGACGTACAGACGTATGTCCGCCCATAGCACGTTGAACTCAGACGGACTGAAGTTCGTCATCGTCATGATACCATCGGCTCCCCTGTCGTTGAAAAAGACGTCAAAAACCGGCGACGCAGAGTCCAGATCGTCATCTGGTTCATCCTCTCTAACAGTCGAGTAGCGTGCGCGTTTTTCTCGGCACTGTTGGTCAAGACTCTCGAGCAGAGCCACCTCTTGATTGATGTTTCGGACCGTCAGTTGGGATCGATGTGTTGCTCTGGGGGGCATGGTGGTTATTGGGCAATGAGTGGTTGGCTGCTAGGCCTGTGTTTGTGGTTTGATGGTTGGCTTTGAAAGAATTACTTGCATCCGATAGTTTATTTTAGTTTCTTCGTGAGAGATCTTGTGGCCAACCAACGCTAGTGTAAATGATGGAGTAATTTCCGAAAACAGTGACTGACTGACAAACGATTGGCTGTGAACGAGAAGATCCAACCAATTCTCTCGTAATGGATCCATGCCAAATGGCCAGGTTATATACAATCATCTTGACCAATAGCCAGTCATAAAACTCATTCCACGAACGCATAATTGTTCTACTAACAATTATGCGTTACCTCTGTCCATGGATGATTGCGACTGAATATTCGGCAGCACTTTATATCTTGCTTTCAGTATACGACGTAGATTTTTGAATCTGAAAATACAATAAAAATACAGGTTGGTGGGATATCCCACGACGATGAGGGATATGATATGACGCAGGAATATTTTGCATACAGTAGTCGGCTGCAAACTACATGTAGCTCCAGTGCCAAAGAGTCCACGTCAGCCATTAAGCGGCAACAAATTCGATCACTCGAGTATTTATGACGATCGAGTGATCTTCAATGTATCCCGCTTCACTCGTCACTATTGTCATGGTCGGTGTGTGTCATCGCCCGTTGCAAAGCCCACAGGAGTACAGAAATGGCCATACATGATAGCAGCCCAGCCATCGCCCAGCGAGATTGCTGTGGACCAGTTCAGGGCAATGACAGGCTCGTGTCCATCGTTCTGAACCAGGCGCACAGCAAACTCGCTGGATGCTGACCAGTTGACGGCGGGCCAGCAATTCGAAGTTGACTTTAGAACGGAGATGCAAACTTTTTACTGGGTCTTTCGCTGCGAATTACATTACTGGTATAACATTAATGACACGAGTTCTGTAGTCATTACCGACGCCAACAACGCTAACTACACCGCTGCCTTTGTACTAGTACAGCTTTGCCTTGTCAATGGCCAAAATATGGTCGTCGGAAATTATCAACTTGGGTTTTGTATTGAATTTTGAAATGGCCGTCACGGAGGAGTTTGACCCATATAACTTACGGATATTGGTGTGTCGATTTACTGGAATGCAGTGGAGATGCTCTTAACGTTAAACAAATGATAAGGTAATCCATCAATTTCGACAACACCATCAATATCCAGGCCAGGCCAGGACGTTCGGCCAAATTCGACGATGTTTATCGTGTCCGAATAATGCTGGTTTGACGATGTTTATCGTCCCAAATCAAGGTAAAAATGTACTTCGAAGTATGTTTCATGCCATTAACCGGATCATAGGTCGATTGTAAATACCCTAAACAGCCAAGTGGCCAATACCTTTCGAATTCAATTTTATAGGTATAAAACTGTTTTATACAAACAAATCTAAATTAGGAGGGTCACAAAAACAACCAGAGTATAATTATGGCAAAAAGAAATGGTCGAAGCTAGGCTCGAAACGCGGACTATGTCGTCTGCAACTTGGAATCAAACCGACACACTAACGATGCACCTTGCTCTACAATAGTATTTAACTATTATAGTACAAGATTCGTGGCAACCAATTGGGGACACCTACATAGTGTAGGACTCGTTTCTTGGACTTGTGAGTTTCGAAGCTGAGGTCGGTCATGCCAGTGTTGTTGTGCATATTCTTGCTGAAGAGAACTACATCCCCGGCCTTCTTGTCCAGCGTAAGCTCTGTCTTCTCCTTGAGAGCTTGAAGTGCAGGGCGTAGCACCACTGTGTTTCCGCCGACCTTTCCAGTCACGCGTTGGAGCCGTGCTGTGGAAGTGTAAGCTCACATGTTTGCCGCCCTAGTGTGAACCCTTAATAGAGCAGGAGTCATTACTACCTGTACTACCTGTAGAATATATGGTGGTAGCCACATTCGACTATGGAGTAGATAGGCTTACAGTAGTATGATGAGCATTGAAAGCTGACCTTGGGGAGGGCACTCGATTGACTATAAGTGGAGTCCATTTGCCTGTTTAGTTTTCCCCTGTGTCAAAGTGCAGTTTGGGCTTAACGCGTTAATAGAGAGAGATATTTAATATCGGTAAGTTCTGCTTCGTGGGCATACGATGTTTAGTTTTTACTTAGCTTGTGGATTCCTACCACCTTTACTAGCTTAAATTGAGCGTGATGGTGGTCCCAACTACGTGGTACTTGTTAGCTAGGCGTTGGCTGTGACTATGTTAGTGTTAATATTGTGTTGACGTGTGCAGTTTTCTAACTAATTTATTCTTGATACTACACTGGTATGATATCCATGCGCAAATACTTAGTGGTCACGATTAGGCTCCCTACTGAGCATTGCAACGGTCTCAGATTCGGTGCCACCACGTTAGATTTGACAGTTGACGTTCGATTTAGATTTTACGACTCACAGTCAAGCAACCTGCGATCTGTAGATTTTACTTGTCGTGTTTTAACAGTGGTCGAAGGCATCGAGGGGACAAGCATTCACATCTCAAGTTCCAGATAACATTTTTGTATGAAATTTTGTATGTGTGTGGCACTTAATTGGAGCAACAAAACATTCTTTTGGTGTGGGCCTCGGAAAATGATATCCTACGAGATATGTTACGACGAAAACGAAAACACTGCCAAATATCCTAACCACAATACATATCCTCTCAAACTTAATAAAATTTATTTTCAAAAGGTTATTATTTAAATAAATAGACCATAAAATCGCCACCTCCATAGACTAATATATTGCCACAGCTTCCACTGCCAGTCACTCACAGCACCTCCATCCATGTACGCCAGCATCACAGAAGAAGACTACGACGACATCACCAACTACATTCGGCAGGAGCGACCGAGAAGTCTAACTAAAGAAGAACGTCTTGACATTCTCCGTCTTCACGCTGAATTCCGTCGTAACAATGCACGCAACGTCTCTGCAACCATTGCACGCCTTCTTGGACGCAGCTCAAAGACCCATAAAGGAAGTGTGGTCAGACTACTTGCGCACGAAAAAGATCGTCGTGGCCCCCCCACCATCTAACCATCAGACCCTAACCATCAGACCCGTCCAACTCGCATTCCCCGCACGCATGTTGTTTCGTCGATGGTCCGACAGTTTATCCGACAACGCAGCATGACGCGCGTCCGCACTGTTGCCAAGGACGTCATGGCTGTCTTGGTCGATGCTGGCATAATTCAATGTGATGTCAACGAGCGTGACAGCGTGGCGAACGGCCTGCGAATCGTACAGCAGTACTTGGACAAGCTGGGGTTCAAACGAGGCAAGCGACGTGGCCAGGCGACGTACAGCGTCTCCAGTGCGCATGCAGCAGCACGAGATATCTATATTCAACGGATGTCGAAGCTGTCGCCCCAAACACCGGTCGTTTATCTAGATGAGAGCTACATACACCACCACTACGCTCGCCACCAAGACAGCTTGTTCGACCCTACCGACAACGCTCCTTTGAAGGAGAAGCACAAAGGCCGACGGATGTGCTTCATCGCAGGAATATTGGCGTCTGAGGCCGACACCGCTGGCGCCGAATCCAAAGTACTTGGTCTTGACATCTTCGAAGGTGGCAAGAAACCAAGAGATGAGCCCAAGGATTATCATGGGATGTTCAATCACACGTACTTCGTCGACTGGTTCGCAAAGGCCATGGACAGTGTGGAAGCACTAGGGAAGACAGGTGTCATTTTTGTCATGGACAATGCAAAATACCACAAAGGCTTGCCTGCAGACACACCCCGTGGTACTTGGCGCAAGGCTGACCTCTTGCTTGCATGCCAGCGCTACGGCGTCGATGTGGAGAGTCACGATCTCAAGAAGACGATATGGACTCGTCTTAAACCTGTGCTAGCGGCCCGCGTGGACCCGGTGGTCGTGTCGATGGCTCGCTCCCGTGGCCATGACGTTGTGTTCACCCCGCCGCATCACTCTGACCTTCAGCCTATTGAAATGGTGTGGGCCAAAGTGAAGGGTGATGTTGGTGTGTTGTACACTGCCGACACTACCTTTGCCGACGTCCGTTCTCGCCTCGATGTGGCCTTTGTGCAGCTCCCACCGGCTGTCATCTGGAATTGTGTTCATCATTGTGAGAAGCTCGTCAAGAATCTGTATGAGTTGCTTCTTGCCAATGACGGCGAAGATGCAGGATTAGTTACCTCGGATTCATCCTCGAGCACTAGCGACAGTGATTTGGACTCGTAAAATAATACCTTTCAATATCTATATTTGCCACTCACAACCTGTTAATAATTTATTGGATCCTGCACCGATATAAAGTTCACACAGCACCTCTCAAATGCAGTATCTCAATATAACCCTAATCCTGGTCCCCTCGATGCCTTCGACCACTGTTAACTCAAAGGTCGTGGGTTCGATCCCCGGCTTCCCCGGATTATTTCCGCAAGGATTTATCCGTCCCTCCCCTGGGGAATCCGGATAACAAGGGCCGCGTACGAAGACGAGGACCGAACTTC